GGAAATATAAATGGAGCGCAAAATGGTTGTTTGGATTTGGATATCAGCCAAAATAGCTATGTACAGCGCACCACATTCGGGAAATAAAAGGTGCTCCCCCACCCTCAAGGAAAAAGGCCTGAAAACAGCGCCTGTAGGCATGTGGTTTCCCGTTCAAAAAAAAAACAAATCCAGGGGTTTGGCACATTTCTTCCAAACCCACAAAGATCCCAAAACAAAACATTTAGCGAGAATAAAATTGTCAGCTGCCCGTGGGCGCTTCCCTGACTTGGCCAGTCCTAGGCTAACAACAGCGGGGCTAATTCTTTTCTGTCATCTGAATTTGCCAAGATGACAACCCTAGCAGTTCCTCTGTGTGTCAACATCCACGGAAGGCGGCGAGCACACTGAGGGCAAACTGAGGATGATCATGTAGTATGGCCCATCCGACCATTGTGGTGATTATTCAAAGAGGCGCTTGACTCGGCACCTTGTTGGCGTTCTAAGTCCGCATCAAGCTAAGGGTCCTGATTGTGAATAGCTGGCAGAAAATTACTTGCCACAGCTCCTCCTTGCCTTTGCTTCACCACGCTTCCAGGTAGGCACTGATAATGCCATTCATGCGCTCACGCTGTCTTGGGAGAGCCATCCCCTCCCGTACCATCCATGCGCCCACTTTGCACGACGCTTGTCTCAATGATTAAAAGGGAAATTCGGATAATTAAAGAGGTTAATTTGGATAATGGATCCGTCATGGTATTCGACCATCACTTTGGGCGCAGTCCAATGTATCCGGCCACACCCAGGATACGCTGAACCCTTGTGAAAAATACGCGGAAACGGCGAGAGTGGCGGATTCGGAATCTGCTGTTTTCAAGGCCATCTGCCTGCCAGCAGCACTTGGTCAAGTGACACACTTTTCAAAAGAAAAATGGTTACTCTCCGCCGGAGGAAAAACAGACGGAATTCCCACTGTTCAAGCCTAAGCTTCAGTAGGCACTCAGCAAATGCGGCACGCCACGCATGGGGCTGTAAAGTAAGAAACGAAGTGGTGAACACAACGTTTCTATGCCCAAAGGTGGACTAGAGCTTATTTCCATAATACATCATAATACACTTGGCAGCGCTTACATGTTTACCTGACTGAGCCAATACCAAATGACTCAGAACTCCTATTGATTTGCCAAGCCTGTCAGGCACGTAATTCCCCAATACGAGGTAGACCGCGAAGGCTACTAGCAGACTCAGAGTAAAGGTGTATATAGTGGTCCTGAGTAACCGACCAACCATAGCCCGTAAGAGGCAATGTTTTCATCAGTGTTTCAGCATGTAATCTCAAGCTGCAGCCATAACGTAGCTGGCGGTTGCTCGCCCTTCATCCTGTGGCCAAAGATGTCTAAGATAATTTGAGACCATAGCATCTCGTGAAGACGTTGATAAGGTGTATACACCTGACATTTATTTGCATCCTTTAAGATACTCCTCCACTTGATACTGGTCAGAACTGCCTAAGCTTCTAGGACGTTTATAAGGTCTGGCTCACAAGGCTAGTGTTGACCATCTCCACCAACGTAATGGAACTCCTGCACGTAGCCTGTGATAGTGCCCGGGTCCCTTGCTAGCTCCTTGCAGCAGCAAGTCTTCTCCCTTCAGTAACACTAAGCCAGACCACTTAGCGGCTAGCTTGGAACTGGGAGAATACGATTGGGTGTTTTAAGCCAAGGGACCTTGAACAAAAGGCTTTGGACATCAGTGGCTTGACCTGGGGTGAGCTTGTTAACCAACTCCTGAAGCTCAAACTTCTTCACCCAAGGACGCCAAGAGTTGTCCCAGCAACTATGCCACCACATTTACTGACTACGCATAGCCTTTCAAAGTGTGGCGACAGTCTCCGTGATGTTCTTAACCATCTTTATGCACTGTACCGGTTGATTGGGAGAAAAACCAAGGATTAACTCTTGTCCAAAAGCGCGAGGAGTTCTACGACTCCCTTGACGGTTCATGGGTCCAAATCACCTGCATTGCAATCTCGGATACCTGCAGGTCTCCGTGAAGGATGCTCGACTGGGTCTTGACGTAGTGAAGGTTGGGAGAGGCTTGTCTCCCTTATGCTTTCAGCTGGGATTCAAGAAGATCTTTCCCTCGAACATGGCCTATAGCGTGAACCAATGAAAAGGACCTGGCAGAATCATGCTGCTCGGGCACATCCTTTCTGACCGTGCTTAACGAAAAAGCCAATCCATAGGGAGTTAATCCCCATGACGCCACAAGGCCCTTAGCCAGTCAAAGTGACGCGACAGTCTTCGTGATGTTTATGCACTGTTCCGGGTAATTGGGAGGAAACCAAGGATTACCTCCCGTTCCAAAGCGCGAGGAGACCTACGACTCCCTTGACGGTTCATCTGTCCAAATCACCTGCATTGCAATCTCGGATACCTGCAGGTCTCCGTGAAGAATACTGACTGGGTCTTGACGTAGTGAAGGTTGGGAGAGGCTTGTCTCCCTTCTGCTTTCAGCTGGGATTCAAGAAGAACTTTTCCTCGAACATGGCCTACAGCTTGACCCAATGAAAAGGACCTGGCAGAATCATGCTGCTCGGGCACATCCTTTCTGACCGTGCTTAACGAAAAAGCCAATCCATAGGGAGTCAATCGCCATGATGACACAAGGCCCTCAGCCAGTCAAAGTGGAGCAACAGTTTTCGTGCTGTTCTTAACCATGCTTGTTCTTCTTTATGCACTGTACCGGGTAATTGGGAGGAAAACCCATGATTACCTCCCGTTCCAAAGCGCGAGGAGTTCTAAGACTCCCTTGACGGTCCTCCATCTGTCCAAATCACCTGCATTGCAATCTCGGAAGCCTGCAGGTCTCCGCGAAGAATGCTGACTGGGTCGTGACGTATGAAGGTTGGGGGAGGCTTGTCTCCCTTCCCCTTCCAGCCAGGCTTCAAGAAGAACTTTTCCTCGAACGTGGCCTAAAGTTTGACCCTATGAAAAGGACCTGGCAAAAAATCATGCTGTTCAGGCCCTTCCCCGCTGATTGTGTTTAACGAGATAGGCAATCCAGAGGAACCCAAACCGCGCGACGCCACAATGCCCCCATTAGAAGTTAAAGCATCACTGGCGCTGACGCCTTCCAAGTCTGCCCGCAGGTTTCTGAAGGCCAAAAGCACCAAACCCAGGAAGCGGCAGAGCTCTAAAATAGCCTCCCTTGCCAAGGGAAACCTCTGGCCCATGGGAGGCCATCTAAGGAGGTGATGCTGCTCCAAACATGGTTCCAAGCCCCCAGCAATGGCTCCGTAACCTTAATCACATAGCCCAAACCGTTGCAGACCACCTGCAACTCCTTCTGGCTAGCCCTTCCATGCCTCAGCACCTACAGTACAAGGCAAGTTGTACATATATGTCGCTATCTTTGTGGGCTTGGCGCACATCGTTCCCTGTTCTCTATCAATCCATGCTCCTTGAAGCGCAGCCTGCGAAACCTGGGCCACCCTCCTCTTGGGGTGAATTGGGAGAGCAGCCAACGCATCCATCTCCCTTAAGGTCTCAACAACTGGTGACTGGATCCCTGAAAATAAATCATAGGTGCGGCGGTCCAGCTTGTGAAGCTCATCAATGTTGCCCCATAGGGAGTCCTCGACTACAGAGAACCCAATCCTCTAGGACCGAGAAGAAGTAGAAGTAGCAACGAAGGTCCTCCAAGATCTTCCGCCACCTTTTCAGGAACCGGAGCGAGGACGGACGGCCTTGAGTTTCGTTCAGCACCCCAGGCATGCTGGTGAGGCAGGCGGCCATACTTCGGAGAACCGCTGCTTCAGGGCCATCGATTAAAGGATGTCCCGTGACAGGTGAAGGAAAGATTGACTTTCCTCCTGCCGTGGACCATGGTCTGCAACTGAGATTCTTTTCAAGAATCATCAGGACATCCACCAAAAAGCTTCCCAAGTCCCCTACTTTGCAGCTCGTGCCGCGCGCAGCCAGGAAGTTCTCTACCGCTGCCTGCACTCCAGCCCCAAACCTTTGGGAGCCATCCTTTGTTCTTTGAAGCTCCCCTTCTCCAGCGCCTCTCCTCACGCTGGGAGAAATCTTGTCCTCCCCTCTTAGCGGTTGTTTGAAGCTCTCCTGCTTTCTCGAACTTCCCCTCTGAGTGTTGACTTGGCTCCTCTCCTCACTTTGGGAGATATCTTAACCTCCCTTCCCCTACCAATGGGTGGTCGAAATTATCCTGTTTTGTCGCACCGTCGGATCTTCTCCTGGGTTTGGGAGAATCCTACCCTCCCCTCTTGGCGACTGGTTGAAGCCCTCCTATCCTCCTGCTTCCTTAAACTTCACCTCTAGAAACTCTCTGACTGTTGAACTTGGCTCCTCTCCTCATTTTGGGAGATATCTTACCTTCCCCTAGCGGTTTGTCAAAGTTACCCTGCTTTAATTTGGGAGAAATCTTGCCCTCCCCTCTTAGCGGTTGGCCGAAACCCTCTTGCCTTCTAAAAACTCCCCTGTGCACTCCTGCCCTGTCTCTAGCTCCTCATTTTGCCGCTTGGGAGACTCTGGCGCCTCCCCTCGTCTTTGCGCCGCTCCTCAGCTTTCTAGCGATGCGGCCCTGCAACAAGTAGTCCAGCGCCTTATCCGGGACAGTGGGCTATCTTCCTCAAAAAGCCCCGAATCCCCCAGGGTTTCCCTAGTCCCACGGCTTGATGTAGAGCTGCTGGATCCTGAAGTCAACGTTGGGGCCCAGACCTGTATCCGCGAAGATCACTTTCAATGTCTTCTGACCTACCTCCAAGTCTTCCGTCAGCCTCTTGGAGACTCCTGACGCCTCCTTTCATCTCTGCGCCGCGCATCAGTCCTCTTACGTTTTATCTCCTTCTTTCTCTTCTCGTTTGCTCCTCCAAGGCCCTCGGCCATTGACTGCTCCTCAACTTCCGGACCCATGGACCGGGAACTCATCAGTCAAGGTGTTGGCCCAGTCCGGTCCACACACATGGATTGAAACACGGCGGCCCGACTTCCCACTACTGCTCAAAGCAGCCTTTCATCTTTGGTACCTGTGGCGTCCAAGTCCAGGAAGATGTTGCCCTCTTGGACTCGCACGCCCTCAACTTCGCCCACCAAATCACCCTCATTGTGGTAGTAGACGTCCTTCTTGATGCACAGGTAGCCAAGACGGCTCAGCCCTGATATACTCAAGTCCCCAAACACACGCCTGGGGATGGAGGAGGAATTCCATCAGCTGCAGGGCGACGGCGAACCCCACGAACAACAGCTGCCGGACGTCCAAACAATGCCTTTGCAACCACCTGTCTTTGGTTCCACCTCTCCTGCTTCACACGTTTGACCAACCCCTTTTGGGAGACTCCTCTTCTCCCCTATACGTCCCCAACGGTGCCTGGCCCTGGAACGGGTCCGACGAGAGGCCAGTTCGGGTTCTACTTCTTCCGCGGCTCCTGCTTCGGCGGGCTGAAGGCTTTCGCCACTTTGATGACTGAGCACGCTCTTTGTGCTTCTCCTCAGCTGCTTCTCCTCACTCTGGAGGGCTGTCGGCCGATTCAGACTCGCCAGCCGGCTTTCTTTGGCAGAATGGCAGGATCTGGCCTCCCCCAATCGGTGCAGCAGCTTGATGAAGGCTTCCCGCTGGAGGTGGTCCACTATGAGGTTGAGGCGCTCTTCCACCGATCAAGCTGGGAGGCATGACCTCCCGTGAGCACACCAATCTAAGGTGTCTCTCAATTCTTCCTCTACTCCCCTAAGATGCCCCGCAGCCAGAGGCACAAATCTTTGTAGCAGTCGCGGAATCCTCGATAGGCTGACACCATGCAAAGGAAGAGAGCGTGTAGTCCTCCTGGTAGTACACGTCCAGGACATCAAGGATGGGGTGACCCATGGGTATGTCCCCTTGGCCCCGGAAGGCAATGGACCTCCACGCCTCACAATATAGTATGCATCGAAGGGACAAGGCTCAAAGTTGACATCTGGAGTCTGGAGGACAGAAATGACCGCGTTGCCATGATCGTGGTGCGGCCAGTTGGTCCACTCGATCATCTTGGCTCGCGACTCAATAAAAATGTTTGGATTGGTCACGCTGTCCCCGACAAAGGCCACACCCATACCGCGGTTCTCAGTCGCTTCCATTACAATGTCGATAACGGTATTCCAGGAAGCCAGCCAGTAGTAAATCCACAACCTATCAATCCTTTAAGCCAGAGCTACGTCAAAAACCATCATGAATTCATGTTTATCCACGGGGCGTAAGGACATACATACAGTATATAGTCGTGGGTTGGAATTGGATTTGCCTACAGATTAGCCCAAAATGAATGGTTAGTGCGAAAAAATTACCCAAATCTATGGTCCCCCCTAGAGACCCCCCAATAATCGCTGGGTAAGAAACCCCATGGACGCATATGGCCGCATGGTTGGTGGTTACGTTTCGCAAAACCACGAATTCTTGGGGAAGTCGGCTGACGTCGCTGAATCGCCATGACTTTTATGGTCCCCATGGTTGCCCATACCAATGCACCCCACCTGTGGAAGTCCATCCGTGAGCATACAGGCAAACGGGCCTGAGTCAAATCCGTAGCCGTAGCCGGTTGGAAGGTGATGTTTTTTTGGGTGGGTTCAACCCATCCCAAGAACATGATCTTTTGGGATGGTTCGGGTAACGAATGAAACATGATAAAACATGATGAAACATGGTTTACATGATTGAATATGGCCACAGACAATGGATCAACATGAAGGTACCCCAAAATCCATGGTTTGGGATTTTGCAGCAGAAACATCGATTTGATGCATGAAGATCAGTGTGACTGCTGATTGATTCTGAAAAGACTCAGTTGGCTCCAAGTGGCCGGTTGGGGCAAGAATCTTGCAGTTTCTAGCCAGTTCTCGCTGCCGCTATTTACTATGAGCATCAATGGTTCCACTGCGTTTTTTGTTCGTTGAAAGCCCAGTTTCTTTAGAAATAGCTGATTCTCCACAGTTCATCCATGAAACCTTTGTGTTTTCCCTGGCAGCAAACCACCAATTTTGTCCATGTTCAATCCCAGGGCCCCAAGATTCAAATCGACTGGTTCCATTAGAAGTTGAATTTAAATGTCCTCTTTACTTAAATCTTGGGCTTGGGAGTGAACATGGAACCAATCTTGGGTTTATAAAATTTAATCTTAAATACTACTGTCTTCACTCAAGATTCGATAAATCTGGGCAGTTCCATCCAGAAACATCACCCAGAAACCTCCCAGAAACCTCCCTGCCGGCCCTGCCTTCAATCAAGATATGCACCAGGATGGAAACCTGGCACTGGCCAAGCTAAGATTTCCTGCATGCATTTCTTTGGCTGATTCATAGTTATAATATAGTACATTAGCCCAAGGAAAAAGAAAATGCCACTAGTTCAGTACGATTCTGACTTTCTATCTTCTTGGAGGTTGCAATATTTATATACTAAACATATACAGTATACACAATATATAGATATACCAATTTCTAGCAACATTTTTTGAACTGGTCAACATATGACATATGTTAAAGTATTAAGGTTGTGTAAATGAGGAACGGATGAGGAAGGGATTTTAGCTTTTACCCACATCAATTGCTTTCCAATTGCCAATAAAATCAACTTTACTTCCGATGGGTCCATTTTTTTTCCTATGTTTTCCCGCTTTCATTCCCACTTTAAAAACAAAAAAAAAACCTGTTTGATGGATCATCAGGAGCCTCCAAACGGTGATGGTCTGGCGATGTCTGGCGATTGAATTTGAAAGACTTCTCTTTCCCGGAGATAACTTGAGACTTGAGATGAATCCTTGTCATGCCTTGTGATGTGTTAGCACAGTATGTTTGTATTTGTTGCAGTTGATTCTCAGAAAAATCCATGGACTCAATGATTTTTTCAAGCCCCAATTTCCTGTAAACCAATAGTTTTCCCCATGATTCTTGGTGATTTATAGTAGTTGTATCTACCATAAACCCATGGTAGACTTTTTTTTGCCGATGGATCCCATGTGTTCATCATCATCATCATCCGATCATCCCATCCCAGGCCAGGAGAGATGAAGCGAAGATCACCAGCAGATGGGCGAAGAAGGAAAAGAAGTTCAGATCCACCGGCTCCTGCCAAAAAACTGGGAAATGCTCCTCAGAAATGTCAACAAGACTCCTCAGAAATATGGGAGGATTTCGAGCAATTTTGTCAAAAGAGATATATATATATATAAATGTCAACAAAACTCCGAAATGGGAGGATTTGTTTTGCAATTTTGTCAAAAGATTGAGATAGATAGATATATATATATATAGCCTCCGGTTATTTAACATAGCCATGGGAAATGGCCCATTTATAGATGGTTTACCTGGGTTTACCTATTAAACATGGTGACTTTCCAGATTCCATGGCTATGTTAAATAACCAGATGGTATATATATATAATTTGGGACAAAATCCATGGATCTTGGGGATGAGGATGCTTCTGCTTGGATGGGAAATGGACCTTCGCAGCTGTTATGAATTGGGAAGAGTGGGTGATGAAAGGGAACAAAACACTGACTTACTGTAGACATAACTTGTATTTGGATGCGTCTCCAAGTTCCCAACTGATTCATAAGCATGGTTGTTACCCCGCTATGGCATATTTCCACTTAGGGGACTTGCAAACCTCCACATTCTCCACTGATCCTCAGTCGGAGAATTTCAACAATCGGCCACCACTTGTTTTGCGGTTCCGAAACTGCTTGGTGCTTTCACATGTCTTATGTTTATTTATTGTTCGCCTTCTACCTGGGAAGAGGGTCCCAATTGATGATTGTCATGATTTGCCCAGTTTTATCCAGTTTTGGGGTTTAAACCAACAGCCCATTCAGCCAACTGGGGCGGTTGGCAACCCGCTGAGCCAACATGGTGTCATCAGTGTCATCACTTGGGTGGTGTAAAATATCCGTTTTGATTGGCCGCTTGGCACTCTGGAATTCTCCGAAGCCTCTAAAAACGTTTGGGGAATTGACATCAGGTATCCGCCGAAATCATCCAATCGCCAATCTATAATCTAAATCACCAGCCCAAAGAGTGACCATTGGTTCCAGAAAGACTTCGTAGGGATAAACATTGTGATTCTCCTGTGCATCTTGAGGAGGTACCTTAACGTTCAGAGGAACCCAGATATAAATATATAGTCATCCTGGAGTAAATAGAATATGGAATGACTAGAATGGGAATATATATTTTAAAAAAAAAAAAACATCTACTCCAAGATGATTATACAATCTTATACATGTTTGGGGGGGCTTTTTTTTGGGTCGTCTCAAGAGTTGCACGCCTCGTAGAAAAAAGCACCCATCGCGTGCAGCATGAAGAGATTCCTAGGAGCTGGCCCTGGAGGCCCATGATCTGGCTGATGGGGATATGATGGGCATATAATGAGGCTATACTCACTGGCTTTGTATCCTTTACCCTCTGGTAAACTGTCACATATGGAAAATCCACCATGTTCAATTGGTAAGTCCACTATAAATCACCATTTTCAATAGCTATGTTAAATCACCAGAGGGTATGTGGAATTTCACTGCCCCAAAATCTACTTCGACGGGTTTCGATGCTCTACGTCCCCGTTCGCTCGTTCCTGAAACTCGCTGGTAAAGGGTACTTGAACCATCACCGCTACATCTGCGCAAATACTTTCACTCACAAACTCGAAATAGATAAATAGGATGTAAGATAAAATATAAGATGAAAATATGCAGTCTTGCGGCTGATCCCCTACTAGACATCATTTACAGAATGTTCTGAAACATTGCTAGTGGCTGCATCCCCCATGGTTTAAAAAAAAAATCCGCCAACTCAACAGACCATATGGATGGTATATCCCCATGTTCCAATGTCCCCAAAATTAAGAAGCCAAGTCCCCAAAATACTGAGAAATTGTGATAAATTACTCTCAAGATTGTGCAATGCTGCAATCCCTATTCTGCTATCAGTTACTGTATCACTTATCATTGGTTATTTTCAAAAGACTGACTCTCCAGATTGGTATCCCACCATGAGTTTGATGATAACCTGGGGTCCCCCATGGCTTAGCAAAAGACCATACAATGTCCTCATATTATAAAGTATCTCCATGATTGGTATATCACCATCCCATATTGTCTGTATGTATGTGGTATGAAAAAAAATGTGGTACTATAAAAATTCATTCTATGTGACATATCATGTGACATATCATGCGACATATCCCTATGTTGTCTCCATTTCACTCCCATGTCCCATGTCCGAATTCTTCTTGACCAATAACTTAGATGACAACCATAGATGGTTCACTTATGGTTCTAAGTGAATATACAACCATAGCTATATATATATATATATATATCATTGAATAATCATATATCATATATCATATATCATATACATGTTAATGTGCATATATCATATGGGATGTTTTTTGTTTAACCAATCATGGAGATTCTTAAAACTGGCGTCACATCCCAACAGACATGGAGGCCACATCAACTATGGGCCAAGTGTCGAAACGCAGATGCCGGTAGACATCCGAGCGAGTACCCTGAGACAGGACCAGCCAGACTCCTGGCGTCGGAAAAAGTGGGGGTGGTTGATGCAGCCATCCATTCCTAAACAAAAAAAAACTATGACTATGTACATTACATTTTAAAAAAAGTAGTTTTGAATTTTGCATGTGTTCATTTTTGGCGTCTCATATGTAGGCTGTTCTTTTGGAGGATAAGATGAATAGTTTGGCCAGTGAAGAACTACTTACACTGCGGTCATCAAAGACGGCAATTCGAAATCCCCGATTTCGATGGAGATTTTGATAGAGATTTTGATGGGAAAATAATCTGTAACATTCTGTAACCCATATTTTCCCATATGTTCCCATATTTCCCCATGGATTTGGCCACCAGAAAACGGTTGTCAAAACAAAAAAGGCACCTGTCGTGGCGTGAGCCATCCCTGCTTCAACAGCACCACAAGACCGAACCTCAGGATCCGACAAACATGTTACCCTCTGGTGAACTAAGATAGCAATGGAAAATAACCATTCTTAATGGGAAAATCCACTATAAATAGCAATTTTCCATTGCTATGTTAGTTCACCAGAGGGTACCCTCTGGATGATGATCGTAGCGAACTGGAGAATCACCATGTTTTTTCGCTGGGGATAGCCGGGGAAATCATCAAAAAACATCGATGTCTATGGACCATGTTCCATAAATGTTGAAGGTTAATCATGCTTAATCATGCTTAATCATGGTTAATCATGATTAATGATGCTGATTTAATGGTGATTAATGATTATCAATGATGATTGTTAAATAACCAGAGTGTAATAGAATGGGGATCTTATGCTAGTATCATTGGGATATGTATGGATATGTCACCATTTCAATATGATTTTGGATGATTTTGGGATATGTGGGGTATGTCAGCTATGTCTGAAAATGGCGCATACCCCAATTTATGGAATGTGAAAATCAGAACATGATGAGTTTCCCCATGGAATGTTGGACTGTTCAGATTCTTCAGACTTCAGACAGATCAGTTTCCCCACGATCCAACTGGCGGGTGCACCAGCACCTTAAGTCTAGACCTAATGGGTCTGCAAAAATCCCAAAATCCAACCGTGCTCCCAATTCAGAGGTCTGAAGTCCTTGTAAAATCTGCGGAAAAAATTGATAAAGAATGATAAAATGCAGCCAACAATCAGCTCGAAAATCGGCCGCCTAGGCCCCCAGACACCAGGACCAGTTCGTAGCAATGGCAAGGTAGCACCTTTCAAGAGACTCGAAGGCTGCGCACCAGTGGAATAAATTGTCCAAACTATACCTCGACTTTAAAACCACTTAGGGGTGGAAAAAAATCAACGGGGTCAATCTGATTGGGTTCAATCCTGAGTTTGTTGTTGAGTACATGAATGGGCGTAATCAGTACTTCTTGTTGAAGGATACCGGTAGTCAGTCAACCACTATCCCTTAACATCCAGTCCCCCGATTCTGAAAATCCGACATTGACCCCCTACCGAGAGGTACGATAGACCCAATGGAGCTTGACGAAATTGGGATCTAGTGCTTCACCACATCATTTCTAGTGTATTTACCCTCTGATAACTTAACATAGCTATTGAAAATCTTGACTCATAGACGATTTTTACCTATTAAAAATGGTGATTTTCCATAGCAAACTGTGAGTTTACCAGAGGGTAACCATCCATTTGAAGGGAGCTACGTCATTTGTGGTGAAGCCAGGACCCCGACATATCCTCGTCCAGCTGAATGGAACTCCTTGACCCAATCCTCATGGTCGAGAAAGACGACCGCAAAACAACAGTCGTATCCCACGGATGGACATGTACATATGTAGATATATCATACATATATATATATCATATATATATATATACACATATTACTTAAAATATCATATGGACTATATTTATATATTACATTACATGACTATCATATGGATGCGTGAAATATATATATATTATATATAATATGATTCATTATCATTTTCTACAATGTGATACACGCATATGCCGCATAGGAGTGTCGCTGGGCCTTGACATGGTTCAAAATCGCAGGCTTAAAGCAACGGCTTTTAACTACAAACGTTCCAACTACCCCCGGGGAATCTAACACAGCTACGGAAGATCACCTTTATAGGAAAATGTGTTTTTTGTCGAAGTGAGTTCACATGGATAATTTTCCTGGCTAACTGTCACATTCGCAGCCAAAATAAAAAGGCGACTGAATTCCAGCCCAGGCTCTGCTAAATCCTGACATCCAGGCCACTGAAAGTCACTGTGAAGCAAGCCATCCTCGCGGGTCTTTTCAGTGCAACCAGTGGATTAAAGGTCATCCTCATCCACAAAATCATCCCCCGGCCCCAAAAACGGAACCCCTCAGTGGTTTCAATTCCTGGATGCTGGGGTTTTATGAAAGGTACAGTTGAATTAACCATGAAGCCTGTGGAAAAAGCAGGGTCTATCCACATTAGAAAAGTTCATCCTTTAGTCCCCCAAGTACCAAAAATCATCAGACAGCGTCAAAGAAGTCATCCCTCATCCAACCCTTCAAGTTCGCATCCGCCCCCTTTTTCCCGGATCTCATCAGCTCATTCATCAGCTGTTCAACTCATCCACAGTGTACCAGTGGTCTTCAAAGGTTCCACTCTCAGGTTTGAAGCGAAACACCCGCAGGCCTGAGCGATCCCCTTGCGCCCGGAGCCTTTTCTTGATGTTGGCAAAGCCCACATCTTCGGCAAAGGCTTTTAACACCTCAACGGCTGAAAGTTTTTCAACGATGGGGACGGCAAGGTGATATCTTCCGGTGGTGAAAAAGCAAAGGGAAAACCCCAAGACGCAGTCTGCGGGAATGCAATCATCCCAGGTATCCAGGTATATATAAAATGAGCTGTAGCATTTTAGTAGATATTTACAGGAATTTACAGGTCTTAAATTTACAGGTCTTATGAGTCTTTGCAACTTGAAAGTTCCTTGAATCAAGTGGATGAAACATTCGTTTTACCAACCAACCACTGCGTTTTCTACGACCCAAGTGGCTCGTTTCGAAGCCACTTTCTGCGCTTCCTCTGGTGTCAGGCTATCCTTTCCGTCCCATTGGATCGTGGTTCCTGCAGCACTGGACACTCGGATGTTGAGGGGTCGGCCCTGGTAGGTGGCATCTTTCACCACGTTGGCATGGAAGTGGCCACAGATGAAGAGCAGAGGGAGCTCGGAAGCGGCCAAGACATCCAAGATCTGCTTGCGGTAGACCTGCCTCCAATTGGCCCAGCCTTCAGGTTCATCAAAGGAATCCATGAAGGGCGGAATGTGGGTCAGCAGAACCAACCTCAGGATCATCCATGATCATCCCCCATTTCGGACCAAAATCATGGAAACTGAAATAGATGCAAGCATTTAAAACATGTGAAACCATAAAATGGTGTCAAAGAAAAATCAGAAATCATTTGAAGTCGCAAACCAGCAACAATTTGGTACCACCGGGGATGTTTTTCACTTCGTCCTTCAAGAACTCCAGTTGCTCCTCGCGGTACTTCTCCAAGGTTGTGTCTGCCTTGCTCCAATACACCTGGAGGGGTCCCCGTCAGATTTGTGGAAAAGGTCTCTCTCCAAGTCATGAATAAACTGTCAGTCATCCAGGGCCACAATACGTGTATATGTATTTATGTATATATATATAACTTACATATAATCCAGAATATATATATATATAATTTATAATATATATATAAGTTATATATATTATATATATATGATATGTGTATGTATATGATATGTGTATGTATATATATATGATATGTAGATATATATATATATATGTGATGTGTATATATATATATGATATGTATATATATAGAGATAATATGTATATATATATATATTGTATATATATGATATATATATATATGATATATATATATATATATCATGTATATATATCATATATATACATATACATGATATATGCAAATATATATATATGATATATATGTATATATATGACTATATGATATGTATATATATGTGATATATATATATGTGATATGTATATATATATATAATTATATATATGTGTGTTATATGTATATAGAAATATATGATGTTTTTTGTATCTAGTATGAACTATATATATATTCTTATCTAAGCTGCAAGATGAAACGCAGCACGTCCCCAGGATGGCTCTCGTTGGTCTTTGGCAAAGTTTCACTGTGCGAGTTGGGATATCCGGCACTGAAACCAAATGTCATATTGAAGTAACGAGCTAAGCGAGCTAGATCACCAGAATCACAAATGGGTTCACCTGTGCAAATTCGGCCATTGGAAACCACCATAGGTTTCTTCATACCTGTATATATAGTTATTATAGTTTCAAAATGTTGCTACCCTGCAACCACCTTCAACGCCAAAAAAGAATAATGTCCGGCCCGCTAGCGTCATTTGTCTCCATGGCACAGCTAGATATTCTTCAGACAAAAACATTGTTTCTGGATTGTTCGGTCTATTTTCCCATTTAGCGCAAAAATCATATAGTAATCCCACGACAGTCACTTCCCAAACCAAAGCCAGTGGGCTAGATGTTCAATCCAAACCCTCAAAATAGAAGGCCCAAATCCCATGAAATCCCACCACACCTGCGAGTTGAACTGCAAAAATCTGATGCCGGACTCTTCCACGTCCACCTTTTGGAACAGTGGTCCCCATCCCTCCTCCTCAGCACTTCCACTCATGTATCGCTTCAGCATCTCATCGTCGGGGTCGTCACCTATGTCGTGGTTGCCGGGGGTGTAATACACCGGGATCCCCTCATCCACCAGAGACTTCATGCATTGGCGCACCGACAGGCGCTGCTTTAGACCCAGGTCAAGGGCTTTCAAGTCTTCGAAGGCGCTGTCCGACATTTTCATCAACCGGTTCCTGGAAGTAACGAAAAGGATCGGACCATCAGACTCTGTCAGACATTCTCAGATTACGTCTATGTGAGGATCTGTCTATATTATTCTATATCTGTCTCATTTTCAGTTGACAGGTAGTTTCCGCTAAAAGGAAAAAGGACCATCATCTGGTTCGCCTGCGGTTCATTCCATTCTTCTCAGCGGTGATGGTCAACCTGCTGAGCCCGGGGTAGCATCCTCCTTCCCTATACCAAGTACAGATGGAAGATCGACAACATTCTGGATGCTTTATATTGATTATATTAATTGATTTATGGTAGCAAGTCCCAAATCATCAAGCCATGGTTGACTTTTGATTGTGTGCCAATATAAAAACCATCCCCTCCAGTTGGATCATTTGGGCTGGCTTGAAATCATCCATCTCCACCATCCCAGTCCTGTCTTTCTTCGGGTCCTTCTCATTGGGCCACCAATTTTGCATATCTCCCGCCAGGAATACCAACCTTGGTTTGCTTATCGGCCCCCATTAATATGATGTTATCCACCAAAATAGAAGTTTAATCCATCAAAAATGCGGTTTAATTGGTATTTAATGGGTTTTACTGGTATACACCAGCGATGTTTACAAACTGTAGATTCCCCAAATCATGGATGAATCTTAATGGGGAACAAGTCAAAACGTTCGGCAAACCCACTTGAATCAGGTCGATTTGCTGTGGTTTCATGGCTAAAGCCTTGTCAGCCAAGGTCTGAAGCATCAGTTCCTCTTTGCTCCAATCCGAGGGTTTGGTGTACATGTTCAGCATCCCCAGCTGTGGGTCTGCAATTTGCACCAGCACCAGATCCGAAGGATTTGCCAGATCCGGCTCTGTCTCTGTCGCCCTGACGGAGGCACCTAAGGGGACTTGATATGCCCAGCTGAGAAGACAGAAGTGGAAGGCATGGCTGAAGATGAGCGAGCTCAATGCCATGGCAGATATATATAGAAATTGGCAATCTTCGCCTACAACTTGAATCTGGAGCCAAAGACCTATGGAAGGTGGATTTGGGTACTCAAACTTGGGGAACCGACTTTGAAACCATGTTTGGTTCATGTTTAAATGATGCCGTCCATTTTGAGGATAGTCCAGACCCATTTGAGCGAAGGATTTCCTCAAGCCGGCTTTCAGAGAGACGTTGGAACAGCCAGTCTGGACAGGTGGGTGTTCCAATTTGAAGATGTCCTCATTTGTTTGGGGCAAATCCAAACATTTCGATCCATTCTTTCTGAAAAGTCTTAAGATGTGTTAAACAGAATGTTAACCAAACGACTCAAATAGATGTTCCGTGAACCCAAAGTTGGACTGCCGGAAGGTACACCGCAGATCACTGGGTCCATCCCCACGTTTGGTTCCAAGGCCCGGGTCCTGGAAGCAAGTGATCAGGATGCCTCAAGGCACCAGTCACTGGTCTGAAGGGTGCAGTTGACTGGGACGATTTTTTTCACAAATCCTTGACCAAAGGAATCCATTTGGGAAGCTCAAGCTGGGGATTACCCTCTGGTAAACTAACATAACTATTGAAAATTGCCATTTATAGTGGATTTTCCCATGAAAAATTGTGATTTTCCATAGCTATGTTAGTTTACCAGAGGGTATGGCCAACAATGAAGCCATGAATGGCCAACAATGATCCATTCAGATCCCATTGAGCTTCAAGGTCTCCCGACCCAGTGTGGCAACGCATGAGAGCGCCCTCATGCGTCCACGTCGCAGTGCCATGGGCAGTTCATGCTTTGGCAGCCTCGGCTCCAAAATTTCGGCTGGGAGTGTCTTGGGGTTTTTTGCTGGCGAGATTCTAAGATAATCTAAGATATCATGATGAGATACCTATTTTTCAAGATACCTGTGGATCGCAGGAAAATGGCCGCTTAGCCCCACAGATGGATGTGGGTTGGGCGCCAGATGAGGAGATAGTGGCTGCAAGGTACAGCTCTATGGAGCCCAGTAGCCAAGTTGAAATGGCCAGGGTAGCCATGGCTGAAGGCCTAGGGCGGGCCGGCCTGGTCTACCTGGTACCAGTAAAATGTTGGAAGTGTGGTGAAAACTAAGGTAAGTTTGGGTAAAATGTTGAGGAACATATAGGAAAATGGATCACATACTGTTTCTGTAACCAACCCTTGAGAAGATTGCTTTGAATCCTGCTTCAGTTGGTGCTATTGGCCAAAAATACCTCTTGGAGGTTGTGATTGAATGACCATGTTAAAGTGGGTCATTAAAGACTAAATGATGCGGGTGGGAAAAATGAGATTCACCAACAAAGTTCGAAAATTTCAGGATATCCGTGCAACACGTACCATCAATGATGTTGTTCAATCAATTCTTAGCCTGTATGGCCATCCCAATATCAACCCTTTTGGGTATGTGATGGTATGTGTCAAAACAGAATGGTGATCCAATAGAATGGGAGATTTCTCCACCTACTCCGGGTCAAGCATCTATCTGGATAATAATGATTCACTGAACTACTGTGATTGTTGTGATCGGATCAACCTAACCATTATCAAAGTGCTTAAAAGTGGTTTCATCCTGTCGAGGTCGTCAACATTCACCCAGATCTGGTTCATTCTTTATCTTCATGGTGTATTTTCATAGACTTTCATGAGACTTTCCCAACTGTCACTTGTCAATTGGGTTTTCGCACAGCAACGAGGCAAAGGTGTGACATGTATCGTTGAACGATGCCTCGCCAGGCAGAACTTCCGAAACAGTCACGAACAAACCCACTTCTGCAATCTTCAGAGCATGCCAACTTTTTTCGGACAACTTACAAGACTAAGTATATTAATATTAAAGATATTAGATGATATTAGATGATATTAGTATATTAGTATATTAGTATATTAGTATTAGTATTACAATCCACAATTATCGGACTGCAGACTCTATATATATATTAAAGATGGACTCGATATGATTCGATCACCCGTGCTCTTCTTTCCACGCTCCAAAAGAATAGACTTGAATTTTAGATCCTATACCTGGTACAGTATACACCAGTATACTATACATTCATATCTCCTACAGAATTCCCCAAGTTTCGCCGAAAAGCGCCTCTTTATTTGGACTCATCTGCCGATAACTCAAGGCCACAGCCAGAAACTGGGCACGGTTTTTTTCGGCGGAAATCAACTTTGACCGGATCAATGCTCGACTTGGAAAAAACGTCCAAATGGGGGGTTCCCAAAATGCATGGTTTATCAGGGAAAATCCATCTATAAATGGATAATGACTAGGGATACCCCCATTTCAGGAAACCTCCAAATGGCTTGGCCAATCCGATACCTGGATCAAAAGCATGGCTGTACATCAGCTTGTGACGCTCTATATGAACCTTGCAGAGATTGATTTTTTGCGTGAAAAACACATCTTCTTATTGTTGAGTGTGGAAGACCTGGTTGCGGAAATGGTGTACTTACTTTAGATATGCTTGGACTTCTCTTATTGATCTTCATCATTTTATGAGGCAGTATGTTTCTTCACCGCTGCCCTCCCCAAAGTGCTGAACCACGACCCAAAACTAAAGCCAGTCCAATGAGTGGAGGATAGTGGAGGGCTCAGAATAGGTCAACCCCCAAAAAGGACTCTGGACCCAAAAAATCGTCGCCAGTGCGTTGCCAGGAGAATACACACATGCTTCAGACCTAGCTTCTCAGCTGCCTTTATCCAAGGAATAAGGGCGGGTCCTCTCAGAGGATCCGAATAAAACCCTTTGGAATGAACATAGCCACATGTGCCGCGGTGCCCCGTTGTGTAAGTTGGCGAAGTTGGAACAGGTGAATATATTATTATATGATATATGGTGATATACCCTCTGGTAAACTAACATAACTATGGAAAATCACCATTTTTTATGGTTAAATCAACTATAAATGGCCATTGTCAATTGTATGTTTACCAGAGGGTATGTCTAGTCGGATGGGTGAATCCCTTCCCCCTTAATATCCCTTCCCGTATGCCCCGCCACATCGGCCCCCAGAATGATTAGATCCAATACTCAACCAGGGTTGGTGGGGAAATTGCCGAATCAGGACAGGTCACCCAGAAGAGATGTGCTGCCTGCCCCGCTCTCCAACGACCTGGCTGAGTGTTTGTCCCAAATGGTGCCAGCGTTGCCGGAAACTGAAATTCTTGGGTTGTCATTTCTTTCCCCGAAATCCAATGGCAATCAGAATTTGCTGCAGATGTGCTGCAGAATTTCTGCATCCCACGCATCAGCTGTGGGTCATATTCCAGTGGACTTGTGGACATGTTAAAAAGTGATATACTCTCTAGTGTACTATAGGTATCAATACCCGGAAAAAATGAGTTTATTCTTAGTCTCTATGGTATAGTACGCCCCCAAAAAAGATAGAAAAAAAAATTGCAGTACGATATCCTGATGATAATCTCATTAGTTACATTAACAATATATTTACAGTACATATATTTACTAGATTTTACTATCATGTGAGTCATCATATTTTCCCACCTGTTCTATCTATTTAGGGAACTTCGGTCATGGCCCACCTAAGGCTGTGAGCATCCCATAGACCAGCAGGTCCAATTGGAAGAGACCTTGGCCCAATAGACTACGGAGATTTTATGACATATTTGATAGTATACCTGATAGTATGAATATATCTATATATATAGGGGGGAATATATATATATATATCACACATCATATAGTTATATTTTATAGTTATATCCTTTTATCCCCTATATATAGCCTATATATATATAGAGAACTTCGGTCATCAGCGCGGAGGAAAAGTAAAACTTGGGGGATGGGGTTAGCAATGCAGCAAAACAGGTAGAATTTATTGTGAAATGCTAAGTTGATGCCACTGGGTTTACCACATTACCATATACCTATGAGCCTATGATTGGTAAACCTCTATTTAATTGCTAATTCCATACATTACCTGTGTTTCCAAGTAAATTACCATACATTTACCACATGTTTCATGCCTAACAGCTTCCCTTGGCGCACGTCTTTTTGCCGAAAACCGCCATGTTGGCGGCTCAAGATCCTGTCTAAACACCCAGATCCCAGATCTACGGCTCCCGTGGCATCCTGGTTCTTAAGACTATCTGTGGCAGCCTGCAGCTAGCTACTTGACTCAAAATCTGGGCCCACATCGTTCTATAAAATCAATCTTTAGTTATCTTTAGGTCATAGAAACTCGTTAACTTGCTGTAAAAACTGACCAGTTTTTTGGGGGCTTTCCAATCTTGACCAATGCTCATGTCCTTTGACTGAAAGCGTTGAAGTCTGGGGCTGTGGGAGTTCCCAAATGGATCAAGGGTAAAACAATGTCCCAATGAACCGTGTCTTGATGGCATATGCCATCTGTTGGTCTCCAACAAGAGTTGATTGCGGCCCCTTACACAACTTGAAGCTTGAAATCAATCTTCCACTATAGCTTCATCAACACACTGAAGCAACACAGCCCCTATTTATGTCTTTGGAAACCCCGAAAATCGGGTGGCATAACATGTCATTTCATTCCCCACCAGACAACAAGATGACAGGGAGCACTAGGTGCCAAAAAACGGTCAGTACAAGAGTCATCCGCCTGAGATTGCCGCCTGAGGCGGCCTTCAGCCAAAAGACTGAGAGACGCTGGGCATGGGTACCCTCTGAAAAGGGGTTCAAGGGAGAAGCGAAAACGGTCTTGACACGGCTTTGGAACGAAAGGAAATCCTTCAGATATTCAAGCCATTTGTCTGAATTGTTGTTCTTCGCAGCCCCTCAAATTACCATTACAACCGAAGCTCAATAAAACAGCATTGTCGATGCAGCGTTGTCCAGGTTAACGAGTGCCCATGTCAAACTTTCAATCGAAGGAAGATCGCTGGAGCATTGCTGCAACTTCTCCACATGTCCAGTCCGAAAACGTCCCACAAATCAAAGTCTACCCTCCAGTTAATGAAAATGCGGAGGTTTCCTAAACATGGGGGGTCCCCCTAAATCATCCATTTATAGATGGATTTTCCATTATAAACCATCTATTTTGAGGTACCCCCATTTATGAAAACCCCGCACAAAATATGGAAAACCCATCAGTTGTAGATGACTTTCCTTCAAAAAAACGTTGGTTTGCCAAGCTATCAGCATCTTCCAAGAACCCGGGGAGCTACATTCAAAAGGGAGGTGCTAAGCCAAGAGAAAGCGCGACTTCTTGTCGCGAGGCGTCAGGCTGCCCGGACCTCCCAGATGGGGGAAGAACCATGGCACAGAAAATGATGCAACGTGTCTAGCGAAGTTGCTGAATAGTTTAAATCTAGGTTTGAAAAGCTGGATGTATCAGGATCTGTCTATGGTTGAATGAGTGAAAAAGAAGCTATTCTTAAATTGGGGAGCAGTGTTCAAAAAAAAAGAACTCGAAGTGTGTTCAAAACTTGCCCTGCAATTGGGGGGCCACCACAGGGGACCATCATGGCACCAACCTTGCCATCCCCGTTCCAAGCGAACTAGCCCAGAACCAATGGGCAGCACAAGAGCTAATAATATGTCGCCATGACAAAGTCACAGCATCAACAACCAACAAATATTTAAAAAAAACATCAAGAAGCATCAGTTAAACATCAATAAACCATACCCAGTAGTAGTACAGTACCCCATAACATATCCATATCAACCAGAAAATCGACCCAGCGTCCCCCCCTTCCCCAACCCCCAAACCCCCGTGCCTCCAACGGCAGGGCTCAGGCTGGAACGAACCACCCCTGGCAGCGCCGCGGACTCATCGCGGTGCAACGAGGCCAGGCTGCTGGTGGCGCTGGTCATGGCACTGCCCGGCCGGGCACCTCACAGAGGTTTCTGACCGGGGACCGAGGTCATGGCTGGTTAGTGGATGGCCAGTAGAAACAGCTACTTTGGGTGGGGAAACATCCTCTCAGGAACCAAAAAATGTGTGATAATCATAGTGAAATAATGATCATTTGAAAGGTTTTGAGTTTCGACTCATATATAAAGATCATTTAATAGGTGTTGACCCATATATATATATTTATATAATATATATTTATATAATATATATTTATATAATATATATTTATATAATATATATTTATATAATATATATTTATATAATATATATTTATATAATATATATTTATATAATATATATTTATATAATATATATTTATATAATATATATTTATATAATATATATGTTGAAGTGATCTTTGTGTCCGGCAACTGAAATCAAATGTCATTTTGTGGAAATGGTTTGAAACATATCGCAACATTGGAAACTGGTGCGGGGGAAGTTCACTTCTGAACTACTTGAGTTATGTGGAAGGTGACTGCTAAGCCCCGGAAACACCCCAGCGTGTCCCTTGCTCCGCGCCTGTCCGGTTTTCTGAGAACTTCAACATGGCCAGAGTGCGATTGTAGCTAAACCTCATTTGCAGACTTAGCAGGTGTCACGGTGTCCTATCATACTTAATATAGTGCTATAATATCTCGTATATTTCTGCAGCCTCACAGAGAAACTGCTCGTCTCTCACATGGCACCCGAGTTTCCTCAGAAACCGATCCACCTCTGAGACAAATCAGCTGTGCCAAGTTCCAAGCTGACAAAATATTCCCAGCCAATAGTGGACGGTCTCAGATGTTCATTGGGTCACATCATGTCAAGTCCCCTCCCCGTTTTTTTGCTTCATTAAATTCAGTTTCCCAATGAAAAATATTGAAATATACTGAAATCACCATAGATTATGGATGATGGTCACAATTTTTCATTCCCATGGTGATTTAAATCAGTTTTCCCAGTCTCATGCACTAAAATCACCAGAAATTCCCATTGCTTCGTCAACATTTCCCTATTTGGTCCAAGGCACTTCTCGCTGTCCCGCCGCAACTCCTGGCGACATTTTTAGGCATGGTTTATGACAGAAATGACGAAGGATACCCTCTGGGTAAACCGACATTGGCTATGGAAAATGTCCCATGTATAGATGAGCTCTGAAGATTTACATAGTCATTCCCCAATTTCTTCAGAATGATAACCAATGATCATAAATTTTGGTAGCATTAAATTTGAATTCATCAGGTAATTGTACTAACTATTCCAATAATTTGAATAAATTATATATCTAATTTATAATATATATATATAACAATTCACCAACCCGAAATTGCGTTATTTTGGAATAGTTACCCCTTCCTAAGCATGATTGCAGTGAGGTGACAGTGAAGTCACTATAATTCAGCCAGAATGATGGTTGTACCACATTAATGATGCCACAACCCAAAAATTTACTCAGATGATATGATGGTATGACAAATGCGCAATAATAAACCATCCCCAAGTCATCACCGTTCATCTAAGTGGTCAAACCCATCCCCAGTCATGGTAGGTGTATGGCATTGGGTTGCCCACATAACTCAATCTGTGGTTCAGTTTCGCTTCTATCATTCATCTCCGCTCATATGAATGTTTCTTGAAATTGGTATCTCGGTATCTCCAAAACCCTTGTTTTTAATACTAAAAAGTGCAAGAATCGTCCGAATGCATCCAATGCTGGGATAATCTGGGGTACCACTCTTAGTTAAACCATCAGACCAGATGTGGCCTTCTCACCCTCAGAGGTGGCTTCACTGCCTGGTCTCAGTTTTGGAGCTAGAAATGGATGTTTACCCCCCTAAAAAAAATATGGTGTGCCCTCCAGTATTCAAACATGGCAATTGAAAATCCCTTATGAATGGGAGGTTCTAATCGAAGGAAGTTTAGAAGTCAAACTTCCGACAATATGGACAGATGAAAAGCAGAGATGGGAAGAGTCAGAGAAGAGAAGAAAAGAAGAAAAGAAGAAAGAAGATCAACAAAGAAAAAGTCTCAGAAGAAAGAAGGTCCAGGAGCGCGAAAAAGTAGGAAAGTTGCGAAACACTGTGTTTTTCCGATGACTTGTGGCTCCGGAGGGCCGAAAAGTAAGTAGGTTCGCTAAAGCTGCGGGCGCGGAGCCATCTGGCCAGATGAAAAATGAAAAGTTGCACGCCGTTGTGGCGCGAAGCACATCTGGAAGTCAAAATGCACAAAACACACCAGGGTAGGGCCACTTTTGGAAGTTGCGATGTCGAGAAAGTGCATGCCGTGGTAGCACGAAACACATTTCGAAGTCAAAAGTGTTAAAAACTGGTTCAGAGCACTTTTGGAAGTTGAGATGTTGAAAAAGTGCACGCCGTTGTGGCGCGAAGCACATTTCCAAGTCAAGATGCACAAAACACAACACGTTCAGAGCACTTTTGGAAGTTGAGATGTTGAAAAAGTGCACGCCGTTGTGGCGCGAAGCACATTCCGAAGCCCAAAAAAACTGACGGGTACGGAGCACTTTTGAACGTTCAGATGTCGTTTTCCGTGGCACGCGCAGGGGATTGTGCACCTTGTCAAAAGTGAGCAAAACATGAGGGTTTTGTCGCCGTTTCAAAAACGATGGCAGGCATGGGGTATTTGAAGAGGATCTGGAAAGATGCATTTCGCGTGGCAGGCGCAGTACAAGAGACACATGGGGTAGATGTGTTAGGCGATCAGGGCGGAGATTTCCTGAGAGGGGTTGCATTTTGAGGCATCAGATCGTCAGTTTTGGGAAGATGATTTTGCGTGAAAAGTGCAGCACTTCGCATGACCTGGCATCACTTTTTCGTGGCAGGCGCAATACTTTAGACAGGTGGAGTCGAAGCATCGCAAAACGCATTGGTACGAGGCCGTCAGCTCTGAACTCAACGTTCCATTTCTGAAGGAAGTCTCGCAGAATCGAAGCTGATCTTGCCAACTTGGAAAATTGAGGAAGTCTCGCAGATTTGCTTCGTTTTAAACGTTGTCAACTTCAAAAATTGAGGATGTCTCACAGAATTGCTGCGTTTTTGGCGTTATCAAGCTCAAAAATTGAGGAAGTCTCGCAGAATGGCTTCGTTTTCAAGCTTGCAGATAGACAAATAGATGGATCAAAAACTACAACTACCACTACCACTGCACTACAACTACAACTAAAACTACTACTACTACTACCACCACCACCACCACCAACAACAACTACTACTACTACGACGACGACTACGACGACTACTACGATGACTACTACTACGACTACTCCTATGACTACTGCTACGACTGCGACTACGGCTACGACTACGACTACTACGACTACTACGACTACTACGACTACTACGACTACTACGACTACTACGACTACTACGACTACTACTTCTACTACTTCTACTACTACTATTCCTCCTCCTACTACTACTCCTCCTACTACTCCTACTACTCCTCCTACTCCTACTACTCCTACTACTCCTACTACTCCCACTACTCCTACTACTCCTCCTCCTACTGCTCCTCCTACTACTACTACTACTACTGCTACTACTACTACTACTACCACCACCACCACTACTACCACCACTACCGCCACTACTACCACTACTACCACCACTACCACTGCTACCATTACTACCACTACTACCGCTATCACCACTACTACCACCACTACTACCACCACCACCACTACTACTACTCCTACTCCTCCTCCTACTACTCCTACTACTACTACTACGACGACGACGACTACTACTACTCCTACTACAACTACAACTACAACTACAACTACGACTACAACTACAACTACAACTACTACACACAACGCTACACACAACACTACATTACACTACTTGCACTACACTGCAACTACAACTACACGACGTTACAGTACCACAACTACACTACTTCACGCACACACACACTACACTACACTACACTACACTACACTACACTACACTACACTACACTACACTCAACTACAACTACAACTACAACTACAACTACAACTACACTGATTACACTACACTACAACTACAACTCCACTACACTATAACTACAACTACAACTGCACTACACCACACTACATCCAGCAGTTGTGGGCGAGGTGACCACTGCAACCATTGCAATCACTCCAAAAAACACACCTCCAACCACCTTTCGGTCCATCAGTGGAGTCGCTCTGCCATCCGTGATTCACAACAACTCACCTCTCCTATAGGTTTATTATTTTTGAAACTTCCGCCACCGCCTTGTGCGGTACTACTGGTAGCTGGGAAAATCATCAATGAGGAATTCTCCGTTGCCATGGTTGATTACCGGAGGGTAATAGGTGCTGACCCAAACCCATGAGTGTTTTTCTTGGTTATTACCCTCTGGTAAACTAACATAACTATTGAAAATCACCATTTTTCATGGGAAAATCCACTATAAATGGCCATTTTCAATAGCTATGTTAAATTACCAGAGGGTATTGCAGCCATGAACTCTTCAGCGCATCAAAAAACTCGTTCAAATCACCAAGCAGCGAGCTGGGGGTACAAAACCAACCAGCGGCCATGGATGTGTTGAAAATTGTATATGACACAAGTGTTGACCACATATAATCCAAACCCAAATTATCCATACTTATCGTATATGTGTGGGTTTATATCATCCTATTATATTCATTTCTTGTTACTGGGATGGTTTATTAGAAAACAAATTAGGATGTGAATTGTTAGTGACCGTTAGTGTCCTATTTATATCCCGGTATCCCCTTGAAATCCCCCATTTATGATTTAGATTTGCTTAAGATGGCCCCATACAAAAAATGTGTCTCCTATGGATTCCCCAAAGTTTTGCCATCAGCAAATCCAGGCAATGCCGATCCTGGAGTAGACCCTGGTCACTTAAGAATCACAGTTTCCCCTCAATCAGCGAGTTACATCTGCTAACCAAACCCGACCCCTCGCAAGTGAAAATCGACATTCTCATGTTGAGATTTGTGAAATACCAAAGGAATTCAGTTGAGCTCGTGATACTCCCATTACCATTGTAAAACATCATTTTTATTGGGATTACAACCATATAATCACCAATCAACCAAGGTGTGTGTATATATATATACCAATAAAATAGCTATATAGTTTTAATGGTAAATATGATGATTAACCAGCACATTTCAAGGGACCTTATTTTCAGACAAACCCAGGTGGAGGTTTCCATTCATGGGGTAGCAAAAACAATATGGTTTACACCAAAAAAAAAGATGGAAAAGGATGATTTGGGGGGCAAACGTCGATATATTCCCATTTTAGATGCACCAGTTCAACCAATCACCAGGTTGTTCAACCAATTTTCAGGTTACCAACTGAACCAATTCAACCAATTCATAACCAAGCAAGGTACCCTCTGGTAATTTAACATAACTATGGAAAATCACCATAGAAATAATGAAATTTCCCATGAAAAATTGTGATTTTCCATAGCTGGTTGGTGGTATACCTACCCCTCTGAAAAATGATGGAGTTCGTCAGTTGGGATGATGACATTCCCAATATATGGAAAAATAATCCAAATGTTCCAAACCACCAATCAGATAGCTATGTGACAGTTTACCAGATGTTATATCCCATTAAATCCCATTAAATCCCATTAAACCGCCATTTTCCTATGGTTTTCCTATGGTTTTCCTATGGCTTTCCTATGGTTTTTCCGAGGGTAGTCTCAATGGTTCAGTTGCCGTTCCCACGTAGCTCGCCTTGCCCCCTGGAGCTCCGCGAGTTGCGCCGCGGCGCGACAGCACGCGCCTTGGCTGAGCGCGGCAAGGCGGCGCCACCCGGCGTGGAGCCGCTGCACGCTGGACTTGGGGCCTGGCACGGTGGAATCATTAATGGTTAGCAAGTATCTATGGTAAATCATAGAAATAATATATGCTTCATGGTTGATGATTTATGGTTGATGATGGTTAATATCTATGGTTACTATCCGTGAATAACCATAAATAATGGTAAATAATAGCTGATGATTATCTATGGTTGATAGTTGATCATTATCTATGGTTAATGGTTAATAGTTGATGATGGTTTAAAAAAATGGTGAAGCTGCAACCCCATCCGCAACCTCCCCATGCAGGCGCCTTCGGCTTGGGCGAGGCCTCCGGCGGCGACGCCGAGGGCGAGCGGCTGCTGCCCGAGGCCGCGGCCTTCGCGGCCTCGCAGCGCGCAGCGATGGCCTCAGCGACCTCAGCGCGGCGCCGCGCGTGCTGCAGCTCCTGCCTGGATTTCACTGAGTTCACCCGCAAAAAAAATGATTTTTATCAAGTTTGATATGGAAAAAATGATGATAAACATCGACTCAAGCATGAAAACCAGGCATTTTGAATAGGTGAAATATGTTTTATCATCTATAAATGGATCGTTTTCCGTAACTATGTTAAATAACCAGAGGATATCTGCTTTGCCCGTCCTGGCTTTCGTGGCAGTTTCCTCCGCACGGCGGAAAGAGACCTGGCGAAAAGCTGCCAGTCTCAGCAGTCTTCGAGGAACGCTTTGAAACCAAAAATCATGTGTGTAGACATACATACATATATACATATATCCATGTATAGTTACAACATGAATATATATATATGAATATTATATATATATATATTTATACATACGGTATATCAATGTTTGTTCCAATTTCCACGGCCTTCAATTCCTCCGTCTCGTCTCGGCATTTCTTGGCCTCTGACTCCGCCACCTCGACACCTTGGAAAAAGGCCCCAAGCACAAGCCGCTGATTTATGCTTTGTTCAATGGGAATTTAATGATTTTAACGGGATTTCTATGATATTCTTTGGGATTTTATAGGATGTCGTGGAATTTTATGAGTATGTGATGGCCCCGTATGGGTATATGAGGCCCAAGAATGAGCAAATCCACGACTCAGTCCAGTTTTGAGATGTCCTTAGGGTACTTTGATACAAGCAGATGGAGGGTTTCAAGGATGCACGATGCATGGTTGGGGAAGTCCACTACAAAAAAGTTGCCAAAGCGGAATATTCCAAAGGGGATGCTTAGGGGGTCACCTGGTATATTCAACATTGTTGCAAGATCGATATCAATTTACCCACATCGACCAAAATTGTGAGATTCACATCACATCATCATACTACAAATATTGATCTTGCTAGTAACTTCACAACAGGTAGCAATGAGCCAACTGCTTTGACCGTTCTAGTGCTGAAACTGGGCCCAGTCGCGGACATTGCTCTCCTGCAGGAACTTTCGGAGCTGCTTGCTCTCTGCCTCAATCAATGGCTTGGCTTAAGGGAAAATCTACACCAGAAACCGTTGTTTTTCGCATCAAATATGTTTTTTTCCTGTAGATTTTCCCGTTAACCAATCCAATGACTCAAGGTGCTCAACGGGTTTCAAGTCCTGGACATGCTAGAGCTGCTAGAGGTTCCAGGTTCGACTACTGGAGGGTAGCTGGTTAGCGAGACATAACCATCAATAGCAACTCCTAATTGACATGAACATCCAAGATGGCCCCTTGAAAGCCGGCCGGTGGGTCAAGACGTCACGAAAAAATATGACCAAATATATCCCCATGATGTGGGGATGTTTTGGAACCCGTTGCCTTGTGGAATCCTAGGCGCTAGTCTCAGTGTAATGAAGATTTGTAAAACCTCCCAATCTGATGGAATCAAGCCTAGAATTGCCAATCTTTACCCATTACAGGCGTAGACCTTGACCTGAAAGGCCGAACCCTGCGAACTT